GAATATTAACAAGAGAATTGAATTTGGAAAAAACGCAAAATCCTAGAATTCTCGTCAACAAAATTATTTTACAACCAGACTGCGATCAAGCATCTAAAAAGGAAATTGAAGCATGTACAAAATTTGCTTCTAGACTACAAGATCGACTTTTGGGTTCGGGAAATGAAATATATCAAAATGCTAAAATTTCTGATTGTTTGAAACTTACAATTGAACCGAAATCTGAAGTGAACGAAAACAACAATTTCCTTTATTATGATTCAATTGACGAAGACCCAAACATGCCCCGTATCATTATCTTTTCTTCTGCACATCAACAGCACATTGCTTTTCATTCAAAAGAAATTTTCGCAGATGGAACATACCGGATTACTCCAAGTGATGTTAATTGTGTATATACTATACATTCACTTGTTGAAGATCATGTGTTTCCTGTTGTGTTTTTTCTTTTACCAAATGAAAAAACAGATACGTTTACATTTGCATTTTCAAAAATTTCCACGTTTTTTCCTTCTCTTTTAGTTGCCCATACCGATTGTCAAATTGCTGCAATGTCTGCATTTCGGTCGGTTTTCAAATGCGAAATCAAAATTTGTTTGTTTCACCTCAATCAGGCGGTGTACAGAATGCTCGGCAAGGTTGGTTTATCAACACAATACCAAATCAATTCCGTTCTTCACACATGGGTGCGACGATTGTTTTCAATACCATTTTTACCACAAAGTGAAATTAAAAGTACATTTGAAAAATACTTTGAAGAAATGTCATTATCTGAACAGTATGGTGTACCAGAAAACATCAAAACCAAATTTCAAGAATTGCTTATTTATTACAAGAGATTTTGGTTGGAAAAAATTGATTGTTCGAACTGGTGTCAGTTTTGTGAACAAAACCGTACTAATAATTTCTCTGAAGGTTTTCATAGTGGAGTTGGTTATCTTATTACTGTCGCGCATCCAAAATTGTTCGTTTTAATCGACTTTTTAAGAAAAATTGAAAACAAAACAAAAAAAGAATGGGGGGAACTTAATATAGGAACTGTGTTTAAAAGATATAAAACCAACATGAAAGAATTGCAGTCAAACATTAGTGTTGCCATGGAAAACTATAATAAAGGATTGTTTGAAAACCCGTTGAGATATTTGGATGCGATATCAATTCTGTACATTAAGTACAATCTCCAAATCAAGTGCGCACGGGCAAACAATTCATTTAATACGATTACTCGTTCTAAGAAGATGAAATTGGAAATTGAGGCATTAATTGAAGAACAAGAACAGTGTGTGTTTGATGAAGAAGGTTCAGAACTACATGATTCGGTTGTTGTACCATTAAATTTGGCAACAGAAAGTGATTTTTCTTCTATCCAAGAAATCAACGAAATGTGTTCTCACCTTAAATGCAATGAATCAGGTTCAATCTCAAAGCACACTCGTGAAATACAAACACAAGTTTCCAAAACCCAATTATTCCGAGAAAAAGAACAAGAAGAGAAAGTGACAGATATGGTATGTGAATTAAAAAGTTTGAAAAACGTAAATCAAAGTTATCAAAAAAAATTATTGAAGAAAAAAAACCCAGAAAGTTGATTGAAGAAAACAAATTACAAAAGGTTGGCAATAATAAAAGAAAAAACCTTATAATCATCGTATTTTTGAAAAATTAAAACAAGCACGAGGAAAATAATTATTATTCTTATCTTTATTTAATTACAAAGTTTCATTTTGTTTTTAAAATAATAATAATTGTGTTTTTTTCAAACTATTGTTTATTTATTATTTACTATTATTATTTAAAATTAAACTAAATCTAAAGTGTGTTAAATTGTGTGTTTTGATTATATTATACAAATATAATTACACAAATAATACAAAATAAACATACAAACACTTTTAAATAAATAAAATATTTATTATATCTGTTAATAAAAATGGTAAGAGTGTTAGATATTTGAGTATGATTTAATTATTTTCACTGTTATAAATACGATGTTATAATTTGTAATTTAAACATATATTTCCATTAATTTACAATTAATTATCAAAACAAGATAAGTTGTTATTAAAATAATAAATGTTGTTGTATAATGGATATTAATTACAAAATGATAATAATTTAAAAATTTAAGTTAAGACAATAAATATATATGAAATTAATTTAAAGTGTAATTTATTTATATTAAAATGCAGTTTTGAAACATAAAATATTTTTTCTTTTTTTTCTTATTTTTAACTTGGAAATTTGAACCAAAATCCATTTAGACCAAAGTCCATTTAAACCAAAGTCAAGGAATCGTTCCATCCATATAAGCTTGGTTTGTTGATGTTGGACATTCTACTACACAAGACCCTTTACTAGTCATTACATATCCATCCTGACATTGTGTGCACGTGTATTGTAATGAAGGACTGTCGAATAACGACTCAGTACAAGTCTTACAATTTTCAGGACAATTTACACATGTAAATCCATCATTTAAAACATAAAACCCGACGACCCCTTGACATGATATGACACAACTTTGACCCGCAGGATGATAATAGTGACCCATTCCACAATTTACACATTGATAATCAGTGCAATCGTTGATATCACATGATCCAAATGGAGCACATTGAGATGCTTTATATAAACATTCACTATCCACTCCATCAAAACTGTAATACCCAGTTTGACAGTCTATACATGTGTTTGTATTAATATCATAGTATTGAGATCTTGTACACGAAAAACTTGTTTGTTGTATTCCAAGAAATTTGGAGCTGGTGTAATTTTCACTTAAGTAAACTTTTTTGCTTGTTGAGATTGAAACACCGCTTTGTACTATTGGTTCAAAGAATCCATGATAAAATATTGTTGTGACATACTCCAAGTTATCTTCAATTAAAAGAAGATCTGCTGTAGAAAGTTGAGTCAACCCTGTTGCTAACTTCAACGAATCTTTTCTTATAAAATTCACTTTTTCAGACCCCACAATCTTCGTTATACTACTTGACTCAAACATATTCGCTGTTATTATAGTTTGCCCACTCATATCAAAAGTGGTCATTTGTTTTGTGTTTGCAAACACTGAAGTACCCAATTCCACACCATAATAATTCGAAAGTTTGAATGTTATCAAATTGGTTTGGTAAAAAGCTTCATCTCCAATATAAATCAATTTAGGACAATAACTCACTTTATTTTCATTGGGACAGAGTGTTGTTATGGGACAGTCATAGAAGGCCCTGTCGCCTACACTTTTAAGCTCACATCCTCCATTAGCTGTTGTTAAAGTGGTCACAGACTCAAAAGCAGAGTTGGACACTTTCTCGGCATTTTTAAGGTCAAATGTAGTCAGCCGTGTCCCATAAAAAGCTTTCACTCCTAAAGAATTGAGTGATAACCCAAATGTTGCAGAAACTAACTTTGTGCAACCACTAAAAGCCATTTCACCAATTTTAACTGCTTTTTCCATCGTTACTGAAGTGAAAATGTCGTGGTTGGTGAATCCATAATCACATATTTCAGTACCAATCGTGATGACTAAATTAGGATCACAATCAGTGGAATTATCTTTGTCGTAATATTTAATACAACTGTTGTAAAAAAGATCTTCTATGTAGCACTGTCTCAAAGCAAAACTCAAATAAACCAAGCTCAGAATTAAGAACATAATTTGTGTTTTCTCAGATGTGTGTAATTGTTTATATCATGAATTATTGTGTATTATTTATTATTGTTTTGAACGAAATAATGCGTATTGAAAATTATTTATTTTTATAAATAAAAAAGTGTTTTTGTCTTTAAAAAAACAGTAAAAATATAAGAAAAATAGCTCAAATTTTAATTACAATCTTTTGATTATTGATAAAACAAAAAAGGAAGGGTAGTTATGAAAATTTTAATTGATTTCGTTTTAAATAATTAATTTCGTTTTTTAAATAATACAAAAAACCCAATTAAATAGCGAATATTAAAAAATAAGTATGAAAAGGTTTTTTGTTTTTCTTATCAATTTCGACCAAATTAAACAATTTTAGGTGTTAGTTGTGATTAAACTATAATATATAAAAAATTTTAACTAATAAAACTCTACAACAAATTATATCGATCCACATACTATAATAATATTATAATAATATTATAGAAAATCAATATATAACAATTACACAATGTGTAGTTTTATATATTTATATACCAAGTAATTTAATTAGAAAATGTTAATACTATGAAAATATTTTGTATTAAACATCATAAAATTCATTTTAACAATTTATGTTATTGGTTTTTACTTTTATGGTTTAACCACGAAATTAAATAATTTAAACATTTTAAAAATTATTCAAAATAAAAATTTAAGTTTTTTCATAATCATCATTTCAAAAATGGTCCCGGCGGGGATCGAACCCGCGACCCTCGCATATCTCTTTTCTATAAGTACGATGCACTACCGACTGTGCTACGGGGCCTGCTAATTAAATCAATTGTTTTTCTTTCACATCGTTTTTGATATCTTCAAATGTTAAATAAACAATAACATAAACAATAATTTATTACAACAATAAGAATTAAATTTTACTCTCAACTCTTCAATGAGTTCACAAAACTCCAATTATTTTTATTTCCTAACCATCTCATCGTCTTCTTTCCAGTTTCATGTTTTGAGCTATCCAGCAAGAAATAATATAATACATATAGAGGGGATAAACAACGGTGTCGTATTTTTAACCGCTTCCACTTGATTATATAAATTTAAATAATTTTTATATAATAAAATTTATTGTACTGTTTACTAAAAAAAATGGATATGTTTTGTGGAGAGTTTTTCTGTCCAAAATAATAATTTGTATCATACTTTTTATTATAATGTTATTAGTTAAAACAATTAAATCGATAAGAAGCGGTTAACAAGTTTTATTTTTTGTGTTTTTTTTTCTGCACAGTTATTTCACCACAAAATCAATAATGCCACAAAAATATTATACTATTAGTGAATTAATATTTTATATTTATTTAATTATAAAACAATTAATTACTTTTATTTTAATTAAATATAGTTATTAATGTCATTATTAATCTTTGTTTTGCAAAAAGAACATAAAAACAAAATGGATTGTGAGAAAAATAAGACTTTGGACGATTATCAAAATGAATTGGTTTCAGACGACGAAGACGAAGTTTTCCAGAAATTAACAGTCGATGTAGACCACTTGGACATATCCATGATACTTAAAGAGGAAAAGATTAAAGATCAAATTGAAGAACAGGAAATATCACTGTCATTAATTCCCTCAACACAACGTTTATTAACTTCACAAGATTCACTTTGTCCAAATCCACAATCCGTAAATAACTCTGCAACGACAATTCCAAATACACAAACGCGAATTTCACTAGAAACTGTTTGAATAGATTATTTAATTTAAAAATTATACTATTTAATTTGTTTTGTTTTTTATCCTTTTTGATTTCTCAAAAATAGTCAAATCCATGTTTAGAAATTGATTGGTCAAAAAAAGACATGACAAACGATTTTTTTGATTGAAAAGTTTAAAAATGAATGTCGAAATTTAAAATGGATTTTGGATGAAACAGTTTTAAAATCACCAACCAATTTGTTTCAACATTTTTTTCATTGGATATGATAATGATAATTGTTGAGGGTATAAATCAAAAATCCCGAGAAGATACTAAAA